AAATATTGCATAAACATTTTGCCGTTCGTTTTTGTTGGATTCTCCCATCCCCCATCATTTGACAAAATCTCAAAAAATGCTCGTGTCGTTTGGTGCACACAAATGCTCAAGAAGTGCAATGGCGGTGCTTCAAAAGACGTATATAAATTGTAATAGTTGTTGAATCATCAATATATGCGTAAACAGCAATCGTCTGTGGACTGTATGGATGTTTTAAGATGAACAGAATCCAACAAAAGTTGTTCGCGTTTGAATCCCTTCGTAATATGATCGATCGCTTGTTCTTCCGGGAAAACTAGTCATGTGGCAACTACGAATACACGTTTACAAAAACATTAAACGGTCAATTCCGAATGGTATACAACGATTTGTTTAACGGAAATCTTTAGTGAAATACGGAAAACAAACAAACGTCGTCGAATCATTATCAATCTCCATCAAGATAATGCGAGTGCTCAGACGCCTTGTTTACGATTAACAACCGATTATTTCAACAATAAAAAAAGCGAATTGTTAGGTCATATGCCGTACAGTCTTCAGTCCCGATTTGGCACCCAATGACTTCTTCTTGTTTCCAAACATCAAGAATAAATTGCTTGGACAACGGATTTTGTCGACGAAAGAAGTAAAAGCCGTTGCTGCATTTAAGAAGCTGATTTTGGAACGACTGAAAAGAATTGGAAAAAATACTTTGACAAATGGTTCGAACGCATGCAAAAGTGCTTTAATTCTAAAGGAGAATACTTTGAAAAATAATATAGCAATTTTCAGAGACCACTTAGTATTTTTTCATTATTAGAAAAAATGTGGTGATCCTCGTATAAATAATCTCGATATTGGTAATGAAGAATTGATAAATATAAATTAACAATTAAGAACGTAGGTGTTTGCTACTCTATTTGTATATACGAGGGCAGTTTGATAAGTCAGTGACTTTTTAAATAAAACAAATTTTTTTAGGCAAATAAACATTTTATTTTTCTACATAATCACCTTTTAGCTCGATACATTTAGTCCAGCGTTTTTCTAATTTTCTTATTCCCTCCAAATAATAGGTTTTCTCAAAGCTCTTAAAATACGCGTTTGTTTCGGTAATGATTTCTTCACTCGACTCAAATCTCTTACCGCCCAGCCATTTCTTTAGCTTTGAAAACAGAAAATAGTCGCAGGGGACTAAATCTGGAGAATATGCTGGATGGGGTAGCAGTTCGTATCCCAATTCGTGGATTTGGGATCGTAATGCTTAATCAGCACACGAAATTCACTTTTTTCCATTTTTGTAAAAATTCGAGGTTGTCTGTTTAGAACGGCTATTAAACACCGACTGAACGACGTAGCTTGCTCAAAATTAGAAAGTTGCCCAAATGTAGATTACAGCGGACGGCTGCACTGTTGCATTTGGAATAACTGCGCGGGAAATTCAAAAAGTCACTGATTTATCAAACCGCCCTTGTATTTTGTTGCTTTCTAATCTATACAGTAATTTGTATTGGCCCGCAATTCGGTCTGGCCTGGACAGCTCTAGTTATGTGCTACTATATTCATTGTAGAGGCAGTATACAGTATTACTTGGATTAGAACAATTCGTATCGAAATGCAGTGTTAAATATTTGCTATCAAATCAAAATTCAATTGATTTATATAGATTCATGTTTCTCGTTTGATTACTGCATGCACTTTTAGTCTTTGTATAAGTGGTGAAAACATTTTTCCATTAAACTTGCATTCCATACTTCTATATAAATTGCACAATATAATAATAATAGTTTTTAATAAATTTTTATATATTTTTAATTAATAATGTCATTACATTATGTCATGTTGTATTTATATTTTTAATGTGATTTACACTCTCAATACTTTTTTTGATCTTTTGTTTGTGTTTAATAAATGACTGCACTGAAATCTTATTAAATGTTTACAGATATTTTAAATATATTAATTAATTACTTTATTGACTTTATATATAATATTAAAAACATGAAAAATACGGTAAATCACTACGGTGGTTCTCATGTCAATGCTTGCTTTTGTTCGACATAATTTATTTTTAATTTTTATCCAAAAGTTTCAATAACAATATCAAAACTTAACAAGGCTATTATTAACAAAAATTAAAATATTATCATTTAATTATTTATTAAAAACATATTGTTATGCTCTTTCAATGGTTTATATTAAAGAATATTAAAAAAGTAAAATTAATGTAATAATTTTGCTCTCATAAGAATGCTACAGTAATAATATTTAATTTTTTTTTTTTTTTTGATACTAAAAATGTTATAGTATAGTACAAAGAAAAACAAATTGGTTTATTTATTTTTTTAATATACAAGTTTTAAGCTTTTATTAATTAAATATTTTTCAGTTTTACAATTTACGTCTTAATCAAGAATTATTTACATTTTTACTTATTGGCAAACTTTTAATACGTAACTAAAGAAATAATAAGTATATATACAAAATTTTTTACAATATTTTTTATTTTACTTAGATATAAGAGAATACTTAAATATTGTCATTTTCTTTTATTTAATCATATATGTATCTTATTTTATTTAAATTTTTAATTTATTAAATACAATATTTTTTGTTTCATATATAACAAAGTATTTTTTATTTAATCATAAGTTTTTAATAAAAATAAATTAAAAAGAAAATGATAGTTTGAAGAGGTATTTATCAAAAGAGGAACTCTTAATCTTGAAAATAGATTGATATATATTACATCATATATATAAATATATATTATCATTAAATGCTTAACTAAATATTGCTATACGTACTCATACCGAGTGAGATAAATAAATCAAACTAATTACTAATACATATCTTTTTACGTCTTGTATTTGAAGACTACAATATTACACTTTAAAATATTTATAAAAAGGCAACTTCTATATATATTATAAAGAAAATTATAAATTATAAATATATAAAAATTATTAAAAATTTACAATAAAACTAAATTTTTTTATAAACCGTAGTTTTTTTTTTTTATATGTACGTATGTATATATACTTAAATAAATAAATATATATATATATATTGTAATTTATTTAATATTTAATAGGTGTGAACTAGTCTTGGTTTTTTTTTTGTTATCAATTTTAGTGTTGGTTTAATGTAACAGAAATGCTTTAAAGATTATAAGAATAATGAAAGAAAATACTATTTACGTAAAGTTATAAAAAATATTTGAAGAATTTAAAATTGTTTTGTTGTTGTTGTAATAGCTCTTGAAGATCTATATACCAGATAACACGAAAGAAATTATAAATAGGAAAACATGCATTAGGATGGTTGAAGGAAGTGTAAAAGGGTTGGTCATTATTAGAGAACAAGAGTGGATTAAGGATGTATGGGATGGGCGGTTTGATAAATCAGTGAACTTTTGAATAAAACAAATTTTTTTTCGGCAAATAAACATTTTATTTTTCTACATAATCACCTTTTAGCTCGATACATTTAGTGCAGCGTTTTTCTAATTTTCTTATTCCCTCCAAATAATAGGTTTTCTCAAAGCTCTCAAAATACGCGTTTGTTTCGGTAATGACTTCTTCACTCGACTCAAATCTCTTACCACCCAGCCATTTCTTTAGGTTTGGAAACAGAAAATAGTCGCAGGGGACTAAATCTTGAGAATATGCTGGATGGGGTAGCAGTTCGTATCGCAGTTCGTGGATTTGGGATCGTAATGCTTAATCAGCACACGAAATTCACTTTTTTCCATTTTCGTAAAAATTCACTGGGTTGTCTGCTTAAAACGGCTATCAAACATCAACTGAAGGACGTAGCTTGCTTAAAATTAGAAAATTGCCCAAATGTAGATTACAGCGGACGGCTGCACTGTTGCATTTGGAATAACTGCGCAGGAAATTCAAAAAGTCACTGACTTATCGAACTGCCCTCGTAATTTGAAGACAGAAACCTAGCCACTTTACAGGGATGGAGCCAAAGATCTATTGGACTCAAATTGATGAGTGTTTTAGAAAATGAAAATAGGTGGGGCAATATCAATGTCTTGTTTATATATTCGGTATTTTTAATATGTTAAACATGTTATATATACCAAAAGAAATCACACACCATATATTATAAGGATTTGAAGACTTTAAACCTAATATTTGCCAATGAACTAAGAGGTTCATGATTAAAAAATTTTCCATATAATATTAGTGTTAACTTAACTAGAAAGTATTTTGCTTTCTATTGTCAAAAGTTATATTAGAACTTTAAATAAGTTAAGTGGAGCACTAACTGCATACATAAGTGAAGCTAAGGGGTTGTCTGTTTGATGCAGTGTCTTAATGTAAGTCTATTTATATTGAAATGAGGAATCTTGTTGAGTATATTTTAGCTTTAAGTTGCTACTAAAAAACATACCTGCAATAATATAGTATAAACCATATTACCATATAATCTTCAAGCAATTTCTGTTACATTTTTAACATATAATTACATATATAATAATTATTTTATTTTAAATCTATATTCGCACATTTAAGTATTTTATTTTATAAACTATATTTCTTTGTATTTTATTATTAAATGTTAACATCTATAAATTTATTTCTGAAATGTTGTATGCAGCTTAATGAATAATTTACTAGTTTTTGTGTTTTATACGTATCCCTTGTTTCATTTAACATTGTTACAATATTTTTATATGAATATATCATACCCTTATATAGTATATATTTAATATGCAAATAAACAATAAAAAATAATTATGGCCAAAATATTATATATCCAACATTAACTAAAACAAAGTTATGGAAATTATAAAAAATACGAAAGATAAATTAAAAAAATATTATAGCTTTAATTTTATAGAAATTATATTAATAAATGTTAAATAATAATATTAATAATAATAAAAAATGCCAAAAAATAATATTAATAATAATAATAAATGTTTAATTCTAAACACAATAACTTTTAAACTTAAAAATATATATAAATGATTTGAATTATAAAATTATTCAAATAGTATCGACACAATTTTTTACTTAAATATAAAACATAATATAACAACTTATTTTAACATTTGTTCCACTGTACTCGTGTGTGTCCCTGTGTTTATTCCACGCTCTAAACTAATTTCACATAACTATTATAATTATTATTTAAGCAATTATTAAATTCTTCCATATCAGCATTGGTGTTTCGTGTGAGTCATACGTAGACTACATGTGGCTTGGCCGGTGTGCCGCCGGTGCCACTCATAATGCCACCATTGGCCGATGTAAGTGATGCTTGTTTTGATTTGGTCATTGATTGCGTATCAGGATATTCATAATGATCGAATTTCTCATATAAATGTTCTGGTTCATCTGTGTATCCCACATCCTTGACTGGCAATTCCCATGGCTTGAGTGCACGATACTCATTGGCTATAGTCTGTGCGGCCAAATAGCGTTCCAACTCTAGCTTATCTACCTGTGGTAGTGTTTGATGATACTCATGATGATGCAAGGGATGCATAGCATGATGTGTTGCTTGCGGTTGCAATGTATGATGTGGATAGGTCATACCACCAACTAAACCCGCACTGCTATTACCGCTTAAGGGCTGATGTTGTAAAATTCGATCGTGCACATTGACAATTGATTTGCTACTGCGTATATTGCGATCGTGTAATAATTTTCTGCGTCGCTTGACGAAACGCAAATAGAAAACAATACTGGCGACAGTTAAAATGACCAACAGACAAGTGAGTACTGCACAGACTATAGTCACTATATGCGCGGGACATGTTATTTCACTTTCTGACATCGCAGCCAAATGACGACGTGTACGCACATTATCCTGCCAAACATCACAACTGATGCGTTCCGCATCAAGCTTTGGAAAAGTACCAGTATTGCTGCTATGTGCGATGGTCTCTTCAGTTTGTGTGTGTATTTTGTTGGGCTTATGTTGTGCTACATAGGCAGCAGTTGAGCCTATGGCTTCTATGCCTTCTTTTGTAACACCCAAGGCGGCTACAGCGGCACCACCGCTATCGTGTGTTATGTGTGGATTTTGGTCTCCATCGAATTTGCCAGTAACTAAGCGCCATAACCAAAGCAATGAGCAATTACACTGCAGAGGATTGTCTCCCAAATGTAATTTCTCCAATTGATCTACAGGAAATTGTGCAGCGTACAGAGTTTGCAGATTGTTGCCCTGCATGAAGATTTCTACAATATTAGGATTGCCCTGAAAGAGACGCATTGGTAGATCGGATAGCAGTTGATTGCTGGTAAGATGGAGCGACTGCAAATGTGTGTTGTCGACAAAAGCTCTGTAAAAGAAGAAAAAATATTATTAATAAAAATAAATAAATTATATGTGTAAAATTCATATAAAATTGTGCATCTTGATGACATAGTTCAATGAGATTTACTTATCGTGGCTATTGAATCAGGAATTTATTTTATGTAATTGCACTAATCTAAAAAGTTATAGATGTTTTGTACAAGAAGCTAAAAAATATTCTACTTTATGTCACTAACTGAGTCGAGTGACGTAAATGAAGATTAAACTGAAATCGTTTTCATTTTAGAAATAATTTTTATATTTGTCACATTATTTTCCTTTGTCCGTTGGTATGGTGTTACTTATATCCTTCCATAAGAAAATTTCTTCTATTTCTCTCTTTCTATTAACTTCAGAACTAATTCGCAATCGCGTTTATTTTCCGGTTACTCAACAACTTCAGTACATGCAACATGACTTGTCACAGGAAAAACAAGTTGTATTTTGTTGCCATGCATACAAATCTCTCTGGATGTCTACGCCAGCAGTGAAACATAAATGCAGATTTATTTAAAGTCTTTTGTTTCAGCAAAATAATATGGAATGACAATCAGCCAGTTGCTCTGGTTGTGGATAGAGAACAAAGTGTTTATTATATGGCGTCGTATTTAGTTTGGTTTAGTTTTGATTTTAACAAAATGAAAATGTGCAACGTGGCGTATGAGCGACAAATGCTGCAACTAAAATTTATTCGTGCGTATTAGTATGTGTCAGTATGCGTCAGCATATGTTCACTTAAATGACATGTACATGCAAACAATTACAAAAAATAAAATAAAATAAAATAAAATATATATATATATATATATTTATCAGTAAGTGAAGAGTTGGTGGCAGGCAATTCTCTCATACACAGTAAAATTCACACATATTTCACTTTAAATAATTGTTCTTAAAACTGAATGCGGGCTACATGAAAGCGAACTTTAAATAATATGCGGTCTATACTCATATTCCTATAGGATAGGAAGAATGGAGAAAATTTAAGAAATTTGTTAGAATAAGTATCAGAAATTTGAATCTGAATATATTTTATACACGCCTGAAATCAAGTAAAGGATTAAAATGAAGTAAAGTTTGTTAAGGTACTAAGGTTATAAGGGTTTTGAGAAATTTTTACAGTATTAATAATATTATTATTAACAATAATTTTTTTTTTATTAAAACATACATTTATTTATTGCATATTTATTGCAGAATGAGACTAACAATAAGTTGTAAAATCTTACAACTAATTACATAATATTACAATTTTTTATTTTAACTATACATTGTATAAAATAAAATAAAATAAAATAAAATAAAATAAAAAAAATAAAATAAAATAAAATAAAATAAGTAAACCTTATATCACGATCCTCACTAAGATTAATGGGTTAAGTTTCATTGGAGTGAATGTTAGGTGGTTTCTTAAGAAAGTGGTTTAACTTTATCAGATTATTAAAAAGAAAGGTGCGGTTATTACTTCAAGCTGTTGATTATTAATTAATGGCTGGACGATCAGCACTTTTTAGGCGGGAAGTTATGGATAGAAGTACGAGATTTCTTGCTAAAGGATTAATATGCTCTGTTAGCCTTTTATTGTATTTTTTTCTTATTATGTCAAATTCAGCTTTAACTAGGGAAATTTGTAGATCTCGGAAATTTGTAGATTTCATTCCTAATATACCATGGGTCACCAGTGATTATTCTTAGTATTCTTGACTGAGCTCTTTGTACAATTTCAATATTTGAAGCACTAGCATTACCAAATAGCTGGATACCATAAGTCCATATTGGTTTTATGATGCTGTTATACAAGAGTAGTTTATACTCTAGGCACAGGGAAGATCTGTTATTAATGATCCAGTGCAACTTAGAGGCTTGGAGCTTCATCTGAATTTTTTTAGCTTCAATATGTTTACGCCAAGTTAGTCGTCTGTCTAGGTGAATACCAAAGTACGTTATGTTGTCTGCTTGTGGTATGGGAATGTTATTTAGTGAAATTATTGGAGATATACTTCAATTTAAGGTAAAAGCGACGTGTCTACATTTTAGTTCATTAATTTTGTGTGAGATTAAAGTTGGTTTGAAGCTAACACAGCGTTTTTGTTTCGGCATAAAATTGCCGTATCATCGGCAAACGTTGTGGTGACAACTGAACTACTTATTGGAATATCAGACGTGTAAAGTACATACAAGATAGGGCCAAGAACACTTCCTTGTGGAACGCCAGCATTTATTGGGAATTTATTAGAAGTATATGATTTACATTTCACTTTAAAGCTTCTATTATGCAAATACGATTAATTAATAATAATATTAATAAAAATATTTTGTGATTGGCTGCGGTCATCCAAACAGTCACTAAATAGATTGACGAGCCTAAATATGTTTCAGAGAATTTTTTCGGAGAAAAATGAAAATATGGTATGACGATAATGATAAATTTTGTTCCATTAATTCTACATTAAAATATCTTTTACAATTTGATCGATATCAACATTATTAGTATAAGTAGTTGCCATATGAATAATGTTTTATTTTTAATATAAAGTTAAAAAATGTACAAAGAAATGAATACTAAAGTCTTTACCAATTAAGTAAATGAACGTGTAGTGTAATAAATTATTTAAAACACTTTAATTAATTTATTTGGGATACCGCAAAAAAAAAAAAAATAATGTTATGTTATAAAACTATAAAAAAACAACATTGGGCTAATTGTGGCAAATTAAAAAAAATATCGCGGCAGCATGAGGCCAGCGGGAAGTGCTTTGTAAAGCCCTGTTTTAGTTGATATATACAATGATTTAAGAATCAATTATATTCAATATTAAAAAGACAATTTAATAAAATGCGTAAAGTCACTCATATTCACATTTCTATGAAATTTTGTTGCTAACAAAATATAACCGAAAATATATTTTAAAGCCTGAAAGTATGCAGCACTTGGAAATCAAAGTAAGCCACACGCTTAATGTTACCTTCACTTTGCTTCCTACAAAATCTAACTGCCAAACACAATTAAATTGCATTTCCAAAAAACTCCATTTCCAGACAGTCACTTCACAGAGAGCATAACATATATCTTGTCGACTTCATAAATAATTTAGTAGATTTTAAACTACATTTGTTTACTCAACAATTTGTTTTACTGATTAAAAGTGATAGAAACGCAAGAGTGGAAAACAAAAATTCTAAGTAAAACATAGAAGTTAAAAGGACTTGACATGCATAAGATGAAAAGGATTGAAAGTAATTTTATAAGATAAAATTTTGTATATTAAAAAACAAATTGAAATTGTTGTGAAATATATATTTACATTTTCTAATACCACAAATGTTGCTCTAACTCTCCTTTCCTCTCCTTTTTCTCACACGCATAATTCCGGCTTATGAATGCCTAATTAACTTAAAAGTCAACCCCATTTTAAAGGACATAGCCAGGGCTAACTGTAAACTGTGTATCAAATTCTAATTTGCACGTGCTACAACAACAACAACAACAACAACAGACACTAAAACAATTAGTTTTACACCAAATGCAACCCACATCTAACATTTTTGCTATATTCCTATAACCCTTTTGGTAGGTATTAACCACATCCTCTACTGTTATACTTTTTGTATTGTTATATATATATATATATATAGGTACGTCGAACGTTGTACTGCAATTACTTTAGTTAAGTCATCATACAGTGTAAAAATTCACTTAACATTCCCTTTGATATGCTTACACTAGACCATGTATAGGATTTATAATTGTTGCCGCTTGCTTCATCCATATGCAGGCAACTACCTTTGTTCAAAGCGTTGTAAAGGTGTCGGCTATGTAATGGGCCATGTTGCTCCTGGGAACAAAGTTATCTGCCTACCGCTCACTTTACCACCTGCACACGTGTGATGTACGCTTGGTATTGCTTTGGATTTCTATTAATGCATTTGCATAAATATTTAAGTACGTATCCCTTCCACCATTCGCCATAGGCAGACACAGCAGCACCAACGAAACGTATGGAATCAAATGAAAGTAGATTTTTTGACTTTATCTTCTGGACTGCGTGGATGGATACATGTGTAATTATATATACGGCTCATATGTATGGTAGGCTGTATGTTACCTGCCTGCGTTTGTAAGTCCGTGGCCGTGTATACAAATATTAAATTCGCTTCAATTTGTCTGCTAAAAGCTTTTAGAGAGATTTTTATGCTCGACTGCTCCTGTAGGATATGAGAAGTTATGCATATGATTTCATTGGCGCACCCGGCTTAAGTTGTGAGGATTTACCCGTTTTAAATTTCCTTCTGAAATTGTTATTATGCAAGTGAAAATTTAATGAGAGGTGTTGCGTCATTAAAATTTTCCCTTTTCAAATTTAAAGGAATTACTATAATGCAACGCTAAAGGAAGGCTTCAGGGGATTTAGTATATTTTATTTAGCGTTAAAATATTTATATATGCATATTTATTTAGCGTATTTATTTATGCATATTTATATTTAGCGTTAAAATATTTATATATGCATTTGTATTGTATTGAATGCTTAAGTGCGTTCACGTGATCTCAGTAATGGAGAGGTTTGGATTACTAAAACTTCTTCAATTTTATTGTTTTTATTTACACATTGTTGTTTTATGAAATCCTATGCTTTGAGTAAATAAATAATAATAAAAAGAATAAATATTTCATGTATTTTGTTGTATACAAAAAGTTTTCTTAAAGACCCGGTAACTATGATTTTAGCAGTAGTAATCCCGAATAAGGTCACTTTTTTATGGCCGAGGTTTCAGATAATAGAGATAGTGATAATGATAAAACATTTTAATGTTTATGTTAGTCACTAGTAATTAAGTTAGTAGTTGACTAGTTGCTCGGATAAAGAACATGATTACTCTATTAATTTTCAGGTATATGCTTGTTGCAACCGAGTATAGCATCATAGACTAGTTTCTACAAATAGAGAATAATTATACTTTTTGCCTTTCACTAATAGACTAATT